GAGCTCCTGTCCTCTCCAGGTCTTTCTATCTCTCACTTGTTTCCTAAGATTCCCTGCACTCTGCGCAAAGTTTGGTTGTGAGTCTCAGCATCTGCTTTGATATACTGCTGGGCAAAGTCTTTCAGTGGCCCTCCATGGTAGGTTTCTGTCCTGTTTTCTGTTTTCTACTTCTTCCAATGTACATTCCATTTGTCTTTCTGAGTGAGGATTGATCATCTTACCCAGGATCCTCCTTCTTGCTTAGGTTCTTTAGGTGTACAGATTTTAGTATGTTTTTCCTATATTATATGTCTAATATTTATTTATAATTGAGTATATACTGTCCTTCTGCTTCCATGATACTTCACTCAGGACAGTCTTTTCTAGATCCCACCATTTGCCAGCAAATTTCAGGATTTACTTGTTTTTAATTGTTGAGTAATATTCCACTGTGTAAATAAATGTTCCACAAAAGATACAGATGGGAGACTTTTGATGGCAGCTTTTATTTTTTTTTAGGGAGTATAGGACTATTTAAATTTTTTTTACCTCGTCTTGATTCAGCTTTGGTAAGTGAAATTGATCAAGAAAATTGTCCATTTCATTTAGATTTTCAAATTTTGTGGTTCAGAGGATTTTGAAGTAAGACCTAATGATTGTTTGAATTTTCTCAGTGTCTGTTGTTATTTCCCACTTTTCATTTCTGACTTTGTTGGTTTGGATAGTGTCTTTCTGCCTTTTAGTTAGTTTGGTTAAGGGTTTGTCTATCTTGTTAATTTTCTCAAAGGACCAACCCTTGGTTTCATTGATTCTTTAATTGTTTTTTCTGTTTCTAGTTCATTGATTTCACCCTTGATTTTGATTATTTACAGCTGTCTACTCCTCTTGGGTGTGTCTGATTCTTTTTTTCTAGGACTTTTAGGTGAGCCAATAAGTTGCTTTAATAAGATGTTTCGAATTTCCTCTTGAAGAAACTTAGTGCCACGAACTTTCCTCTTTCCTTGTTTTGATTGTGTCCCATAAGTTTGGGCATGTTGTGCCTTCATTTCATTGAACTCTAGGAAGACTTTAATTTCTTTCTTTATTTCATCCCTGACTCAGCTGTCATTGAGTAGTGAGTTGTTCAGTTGCCATGTATGCATAGGCTTTTTGCTATTTCTGTTGTTGTTGAGGTCCAGCTTTAGTCCATGATGTTCAGATAGGATACAAGAAATTGAAATAATCTTCTTTTGTCTGTTGAGGCTTGCTTTGTGACCAGCTATATGGTTTAATTTGGAGAAGGTTTCATGTGGTACTGAGAAGAAGGTAAATTCTTTTTTTGTTTGGGTGAAAAGTTCTGTTAGGTCCATTTGATTCATGACATCTGTTAGAATCATTGTTTCTTTGTTTAATTTCTGTTTTTTGACCTGTTCTTTGTTGAGAGTGGGGTGATGAATTATTCCAATATTAATGTGTGGGGATCTATGCGGTTTAGCTTTTATTAATGTTTCTTTTACAACTATGGATGCCCTTTTGTTTGGGGCATAGATGTTCAGAATTGTGATGTCTTCTTTGTGGAATTTTCCTTTGATGAACTTGAAGTGACCTTCCCCACTTCTTCTGATTAATTTTGGTTGAAAGTCTATTTTATTAGATATCACAATGTCCACTCATCCTTGCTTCTTGGATCCATTTATTTGGAAATTCATCTTCCAGCCCTTTACTCTCAGGTAATATCTATCTATCTTTGTTACCTTGATGTCTTTCTTTTATGCAACAGATTGTTGGGTCTTGTTTATGCATCCATTCTGTTAGTCTGTCTCTTCTTATTGGAGAGTTGAGTCCATTGATGTCGAGAGAGATTAATCACCAGTGACTGTTAGATCCTTTGATTTTGATGTGGGTAGTGGTAGTGTGTTTGTGTGCTTGGCTACTTTTAGTTTTTCTGTAGTGGTGTTATTTATTTCTTGTGTTTTTCTGAATGTAGTTAGCTTTCTTGGGTTGTATTTTTCTTTCTAGTATCTTTTGTAATGCTGGATTTGTGTGTGTGGGTATTGTTTTAATTTGTTTTTGTCGCTGAATATCTTGTTTTCTCCATCTATGATAATTGAGAGTTTTGCTGGTTATAGTAGCCTGGACTGACATCTGTGTTCTCTTAGGGTCGCCATGATATGAAACCCTTCTGGCTTTCATAGTCTCTGTTGAGAAATCAGGTGTAATTCTGATTGGTTTGACATTCTACTTTACTTGCCTTGTTTTCTCTTGCAGCTTTTTTATTTTTTCTTTGTTCTGTATACTTACTGTTCTTTTTATTACGTGGAGGGAGGATTCTCTTTTCTGGTCTGATTTATTAGGTGTTCTGTAGGCCTCTTATATGCTTATAGGCCTCTCCTTTAAATTGGGGAAATTGTCTTCTATGATTTTGTTAAAAATATTTTCTGCATCTTTGAGATGGTAATCTTCTTTTTTCCCCTATTCCTATTATTCTTCGGTTTTGTCTTTTCATGTTGTCTTAGGTTAGGTTTCTTGGATAGTTTGTGTCAAGAATTTTTTAGATTTAATATTTTTGACAGATACATCAATTTCTTCCATTGTATCTTCCACACCTGAGATTCTTTCTTCTGTCTCTTGTAGTCTGTTGGTTATGCTTACCTCTGTACATCCTGATTTCTTCCCTAAGTTCTTCCTGTCCATAATTTCCTCCATTTGTGTTTTAATTTTTCCACTTCTGTCTTCAGATCTTGAACAGTTTTGTTGATTTCCTTCTCCTGTCTGACTATATTTTCCTGTTTTTCCTTCAATTCCTTCACCTGTTTGTTTGAATAACCCTCTTTTTCTTTTATTTCTTTCAGTGATTTAATTACTTCCTCTCTAAAGCAAACAAATTCTTTAGCTGCCTTTTCCTGTATTTCTTTATGGATGGCCATAATCTGACTTTATCTCCCTCTATTTCTTTATGCATTTTATTTGTTTCTTCTAGTATCCTCTTTATAAGCATAGACGTAAGGTCATCTTCTTGAACTTCACTTATAATAGGGTATGCAGGGCTACTTGCCTCTGGATAATTGGGTTCTGGAGATAGCAAATTGTGTTGCCTTTAGTTGGTTGTGCTCTTATGCTGGCCTCTACCCATCTGGTTGTCTCGGGTGTTGGCTGTTAGTATCTGGTGCCAGCTGGAATCCTAGGGTGGGGAGAATCCCCTTGGCAGGAAGATGGTTTTTCCTGAAGGAGGTTTCCTCAGCTTTTTTGGTATGGTCACCCATTGGCCAGTGTTTCTCAGGAATTGCCACAGCTGACCTCAGGCATATGGACCTGTGTGGTGGCTGTTGTCGTTGGAGAAGTCCTGGAGACAGCTGCCCTGCTACTGGGTTTCTTGCTCTGAATTTAGTGAGCTGCTGCTGCTGTTTTTACACTGTGTTTGCTAGGCACAGCTCTCTTGAAGAACCAGGGAGCCCCACGTTTTGGTCAGGTTTGCTAGAGATACTGATTGTGCCTTGGATCTGTACCTGGGGACTGATTCTGTGGATAACAGGCTTCTCTAGGTCCGAGGTTGGAGTTCTGTGCCCCAGTTCCCAAGTGGTAATAACTGGCAGGTGATCAAAGCACTCATGCCTAAGGTGGGAGACTAAAATCTGGTACCTGCAGGAACCCAGAAACTTTTCCAAAACTTGATGTCCTGAGGTCAGACCTGATGTTCCTCCACAGTGGGGTTTCCTCCAGAAAGGGAGACCCAATCTGTGATGTTTTGGGGTCCACATTCAGTCTGAGATGGTGATTAGAGCAAGCAGGAGCAAGGGGATGGCTCCTCACTGTCGACTAGGCAGCTGCAGGAATCCCAGAACACTTCCCGAGAAATTTGAGGGGAGGTAGGGGTTCGGCTGAGTGCCCTGAGGTCAAACCTGATCCTCTCGACAGGGAAACCCAGTCTCTGGTGCTCTGGGGCCCACAGTTCTATCTGGGATGGTGAGTGGAGGGGAGAAAGGCAGGTCTCTGGGCTGGCAGCTGAATGCCTGCCTGAGCCTAGGGACCTATCCAGGGATTGTCTGGGTGGCCTGAGGATTGGTCCCGATTGCTTCTTTCACTGTGGGATTTTCACTCGACTGTAAAACCCAGTCTCTGGTGTTGTGTGGTCCACAATTCAGTCTAGTAAAATGATCAGATCATGCAGGTATGTCGCTCTGGCCTGGCCACAGAGTGTCTGTAGGAATTCTTCCGGGGTTTAGCTGGGTGACCTGATTGCTTACCACAAAGTGGGGTTTCCTCTCACCTAGGAAATACAATCACTGTTTTTTTAAGGGCCAGAGTTTTGTCTGTTAGTTGCTGTGCAGTCACTGCTATCCTGCTCCACAGACACAGTGTCCTCCTGACTCTGCCATCTTGGATCCTCCTTCTCATAACATTTCTACTGTCCCTACTTGGATATGAAGAAGAGTAAAAGTAATAATAATTATTTGTGGTTGACAAACCAAGACAAAGTTACACTCTTGTTTGTAAAGCTAAATCTCATTTCTATCGAACAAAAATTCAAAGAGCAGGCATTATTCATTAGCTTCAATAGTTTGCATTCGTTACTTACATATGGCTTCTCCCATATAGGTTCCAAGTGGTTAAACTACAGAGTAAATAAGCAGTACCGAGATAGGAGGAATTATATTACTTTAAAACTGGCCAATACCCATGCTCCAAATAATGTCTGGAAAACCCAATCATTGCAAGCACCATGGCATTACATTTCAAGTCTCTGACCTGGAATGAGTCTTAAGTAAACATGGTGTTTAAGCAAACACACACACACAGACACACACACACGTGTGTGTGTGTGTGTGTGTCTGTGTGTCTGTGTCTGTGTGATCCCTCAGGACCTTCTTTTAGCTAAACAAAAATAAATATATTAGTTGAGACTTGTTGCCGTATCATTTCCATGGGAAAACACATTTTAATTGTAAGCCTAAAAAGCTGAAAACTAAGTCTCTTCTTTTAGGTCCTAAGGGAGAGTGTTGTTAATGTTTATAAATTTATTTCTCTTTCTTCTATCATCCTAGGCTGTCATGGTATCCCTTCTAACAGACTACTCACCTATGCTCCAGAAGCCAAAGTTTTGATGCTGCATTGTGTCAAGAGAAAAAAAAATCCTTGAAGCTCTTTAAAACAGAATAAGTCAGTTTATGGGGGAAAGAGAAGAATTTAAAATTGTAAACAAATCCCTAGTACATGGTATGAGTAACATCTGTTATTGCTTTGCAATTGTGAGACTTTTTTTTTTGAGAATAACATTTTACTTCACACAAATACGTTGTACAACATAGAACTTCAAGGTGCTTTATTATCCTGCTTGACTTGGTTTAAACAATCTCTTTAATTCACAACTTCTGAATTGCATTTGGGTCTCATATTAGTGTCACACATATTTTCTTTTTCTAAACACTAAACACTATGCTTATTGCATAATGTCTATATCATTAAATGTAACCTATGCTTATTGCCTTATTAAATGATCATCCGTGTTCATTTATAAATAAACATTTGCCAGTCAAATAACATTTGCTATTAAGTCTGTAGCCTATGTTCATGGCCCTTAAGAACATAAGGAAATCAAATGACATACATCCTGCAAATGGGTACATTTTCAGGCCAATGAGGAAGAAAGGCAGTCACAGAGAGATCATGTAGTCTTTTACAAATAACAACTTGCTCATACTGAAGTATTTTCCCAAACATCTGTGGAAAGATGGGAGTCCTTCAAGAGCATACATCTTTGTACATACTGACTATTTCATGTTGCAAGTGGAAAGAAGCTCTATTAGCATGTGGTAAAGGTGTGGGTACTCATCCAGGAATGTAGGCCCAATAGAAAATGACATAGTCCTTAATTTTTATTTTTTCCAGTAGAGGCAATTTAATTTTTCACATCTGTGTTCATCACAAATCTACTCATATCATCCATTAACTATTTCTATAAATCAACTATTTGCTAAATTTCATCTTGTCTTTTTCTCTCTATCTGGGATCATCACAGTTGTAATAGACTTCTTTTGTGTATTATCAAATTTTCTATCATCTGATGACTGTGATATGATGTGACATGTTTTTAGTTGAAATTTTAAATAACATAGAAGGTTATGATAAAACAGGGTCAGATGAATGGGGAGGAGGTCCCCCCCCCATCAGTGGACTTGGAAAGGGGAAGGGCAGAGAGGAGGTAGGGAGGGTGGTATTGGGAGGGAAAGAGGGAGCGGGATACAGCTGGGATACAGAGTTAATAAAATGTAACTAATAAGAAAAAAAATTAAAAAAGAATAAAATAAAATAAAAAAATGAAAAAAAAACTCAAAAAAAAAACATAGGAGGTTATTCTTAAAAATAACACATTTTACACTGGCCCAAATAATGTAACTAACTTTATATTTGACATTTATTTAAAAAAACATGTTTACAATCTGGTTGACTGATAGTCTTTAACAGACATTTATGACTTAAATGAGTAAAAAGAGATTAATAAAAATTAGATTAATAGTGAAGATAAAATGAAACATTATTCTGTAATAAAATGAAAAAATATCAAAATTTCCAGTAAATATCAAAAGTGACCTTCACATCTATTGAAGTTTATTGTAAACACTTAAAAGAGAAAGAGAATGGGGTTTACTGGAATATTTTCTTTCAGCAAAGAATATTTGAACAATTCCACCATCAGGTGCTATATGGTTTATGAAGGCTCACTTTCAAACTACTATGTTAAAAGTAGTGGGACGAGGGTAATGGTTCAGTTTATAAAGTACCTGCCACACAGCCATAAGGACCTGAATTATGATCCCCAGAAGCCATGTTTTAAAAGCTAGGTGTGGTTTGTGCACTTGTAGCCTTAACATGGCATAGGGCATGGAGATAGGCTGATACTCAGAGTTCACTGTCAGTCTATCCAGTGGGTAAACACCAGGTTTAGTGAGTCAACAATAAGAGACAACAAGAAGAGTGAATGAGGAATAAATCAGATGTTGATGTTTGGCCTTCATATCCACACACGGGCAAGCAATATACACATATGCAAAGTCATATTCTTTCAAGTACCATATGGTCTCCCATGATGGTGGCCTCTCCTATTTTTTCTGAACCAAATGTATAGACTAGTGTTTTTTTCAAGAACATAAATAACTTGTAATCACTTTTTTTTTTTTGGTTAAAAATGTATTTAGTTTTTTCTCAAAATTCTCCAAGTTTTCTGTTTGACATGAGTTAATTTGTATTTAAAAAAAAACCTGGAAGAAAATTGTTAGCTCTGAAAACTTTTCTTTTTAAGAAATCTTTATATCACCAGAAAAAAAGTAGTGAAGAAAGTAAGTTTGACCTTAATGTTATTTTTATCTTCTTCCAACTTTCTCTTTGCTCTTCCTCGCCCCTTTACATAACTACTAGAACTCCAAAGATTAACACAACTCTATCAGTGACCCTTAGGTTACAAACATATATAAGAAATCCTATGCATTTAATTAATGAAATTAGCCAAAGAGTTATTTTTCTTGCAGGCTCTTTCTGCTATAACACTGGGAATAGAAAACCACATGAAACTTCACTGTAAGGATTTCTACATTGGGAAAGAGTTATCAGTAGGATTATGTGGTTTTGGTGATTAGTTTTTAGATTAACTTTTGTTCCAGAAAAACAATTTAATGTTAGATATTTCATATATATGTATATATATTTCATATAAGTGTGTGTGTGTGATTCTCTCATACATTACATCCTAAACATAGTTTTCCCTCCTTTCACTCCTACCTGTCTCTCTCACATACACATACTTCCTGTCTTCCTCTTTCTCCAGATCTACTCCTCCTTCATTTCTCTTCAGAAAAAGCAGGCCTCCCAAGGATACCAACTGAACATAGCATAAGAAGTTACAATAAGACTCGGCACCAACCCTCATGTCAAGGCTGAATGAGGCAAACAAGTAGCAGGAAGAGTTCCAAGAGCAGGCAAAAGAGTCAGAGACACTTCCGACTTCCACTGTTAGGATTTCCACAAGAACACCAAGCTACACAACCATAACATATGTACAGAGGACCTAACACAGACCTGTACAGGCACTGTGATTGTTGCTTCAGTCTCTGTAAGCACTTATGATCCCTGTTTAGATGAATCTTAGTTGATTCTCCTCATGTTCTCCTAATGTTTGGCTATGAGTCTCTATATGCTCCTATCAGCTGCTAAATGAAGCCTCATGGATGACAATTGGGTTAGGCTCTAGTCTATGAGTATAGCAGAGTATCATCAGTAATCATTGATATTTTTGTTTGTTTGCCAGTCATGTTTGCTTCTATCCTAGGTATCTGGGAGATCCAATCTCTAGTAGTTTTAATGATTTAACTATTGTAAAATCCTGGGGTAGACTGTGCCAGATCATCACTGTTATGGACAGGAGCCAGGTGCAGCCGAAAGTGCTGGGCGGAACCAGTTCACAAAATGCATGCAGTTACATGTGGAATTTATGGGTGACACCAGCCAACCACTCTATCACCTGAAACACCGAAGATCCCATTTGAGAGGATGGTGTGCTCACCCTATTGGATTCAGAAAAAGAGGCTTGGAGGTTGCACCAACCTTGCTTCTGAGTCTTAAATATCCACGCATCGTGAGATGACCTGCAACTGTTAAATAAAGCATTTAACAAAAATTCTGGGATAGAGTTTCTCAAACAGCTGACACCACGTTATACTTCTTATAAGGTGTTATAGTTCCTTCTTGTACCACTGTCACAAAAATATGTGACAAAAGCAACTTAGAAGGAGGGTTTATTTTGGCTAACTTCCTGAATATACAGCTGAGAAGGCATTGTAGAGCACTTAGTCATGTTGGCAAGAACGTTCGCATCTTGACAGTTTAGGAAACAAAAAGCTCAGGGTAGACAAAGAACCAGGCTGTAATCCTCAAAGACCTATCACCAATGTCTCTCCTTTATCTTTTTTTTTTTTTTTTTGGTTTTTATTCATTTTTTATTAAATTTTATTTTCTATATTAATTACAGTTTATTTACTTTGTATCCCAGCTCTAGCCCCCTCTCTCATTCCCTCCCAACCCCACCCTCCCTCCCTTATCTCCTCCCTGTCCCTTTCTAAGTCCACTGATAGGGGACGTCCTCCTCCCCTTCCATCTGACCTTAGCTTATCAGGTCTCATCAGGACTGTCTGCAATGTCCTCCTCTGTAGCCTAGCAAGGCTGCTCTTCCCTTGGGGGTGGGGAGGTCAAAGAGCCAGCCACTGAGTTCATGTCAGAGACAGTCCATGTCCCCCTTACTAGGTAACCCACTTGGTTACTGAGCTGCCATGGGCTCCTTCCAAGCAGGGGTTCTAACTTATGTCCATGCAGGTCCTTGGTTGGAGAATCAATCTCAGAAAAATTCCCTGTGCCCAGATATATTTGGTCCTTGTGGAGCTTCTGTCTTCTCCAAATCTTACTTAAATCCCCCTTCTTTCATATGACTACCTGTACTCTGCCCAAGGTTTGGTTATGAGTCTCAGCATCTGCTAGGTAGTCTTTCAGAGGCTCTCTGTGGTAGGCTCCTGTCCTGTTACTTGTTTTCTCCTACTTCCAATGTCCATCCCATTTGTCTTTCTAAGTGAGGATTGATCATATTACCCTGGGTCCTCCTTCTTGTTTATTTTCTTTAGGTGTACAGATTTTAGGTCTCATAGGTCTACTATCCACTTTTAAGTGAGTATATAACGTAGTTCTTCCTCAAGATCCAGTTATACCACTCCTAGGCATATATCCGAAAGATGCTCAAGTACACAACAAGGACATTTGCTCAACCATGTTCATAGCAACTTATTCATAATAGCCAGAACCTGGAAACAACCTAGATGTCCCTCAACGGAGGAATGGATACAGAAATTGTGGTACATTTACACAATGGAATACTACTTAGCAATTATAAACAAGGAAATCATGAAATTTGCAGGCAAATGGTGGGATCTAGAAAAGATCATCGTGAGTGAGGTAGCCAGAAACAGAAAGACACACACAGTATATACTTACTTATAAGTGAATATCCTACTAAAAAAAATGATGGTTTGCATCCCATGCCTGCTGATTGTTGTACCCCTGGGGCCCCCTGTCTCCTGAGTTCCATTTCCTAGCCCATGGATCTTCCTGAATTCTTGGAGGCAATGCACTTGGGACAAAGTAGGACCCCACCCCAGGTCCCTTTCTTTCCAGGTCCCCTTAGGTCACACTGCAGCAGCAGTGAAATGCATCCTGTCCCCTGCAATCCATTTTCTGGCCCACAACTCTGAATGAATTCCCAAAGCCTGCCAACACTAAGGCCAATGAGGTAACATCCATCCCCCACTAAAACCTCACTCCCTCAGTCTCCTGACTGTCAAGTACCCCTAAAGCATACCCAACAGGAATAAACTTCACCTGGTCTTTTTTGCTATATTTTCTGGTTCACAACCCTGCCTGCACTCCCAGAGGCCTGCCAGCACCATGGACAACCAGATGGCTAAATTGCAACTTGTATACATATAAGCAACAAGAGCTAGGGCAA